CCTCCGCAGTAGCCGAGAAGAGGGAGGCGGAACTCATAGACCCTGAGATAGCAAACGACGCGAATGCAGTGAGTCGGATGGTCGAGCTCCTTAGAATCGGCGCCGATTGCACCCAATCCAATCCTCAGCAACGGCCAGAAATGAAGGAAGCCATTAGGAGAATAGAAGAAATATGAGGGAATCATAAATTTGTTTTTGGAAACTAAGAAAAGGGCATATTGAGGGATGGGGGGAAGAACACAAAAAAACTAATGTGGTAGATGGATAGTTCGATTGGAAAATTAATTAAAAAGTAGGGAAGCTGCTACGGAGGAAGAGGGTAGGAGGAGAGGTTTGTGAGCATCTGAATCCCCTGCCCGCCGCCGCAGTGCACCATCGCCAGATCATATCTCGGGTCGGATCCGCCCGAGATCGCACTGCATGGCTCCGCCTCTTACTGTGTAACATCATTGTTTTTTTTTTTTTATGTATAATATCTGGGATCAGTTCACCTCTGTATTTTTTTCCGTGTAAATGAATTTACAACACTGGGGGGTTGGGATTTTTTAATTAGTTTTTTTTTTCTTTAATTAATTTATTTATTTCTTTGTTTCTTCAACCTTAATAGAAACAAACACTTGTGATTATCCAGTTTCTCACGATTTCATCCTTCTCCCTTTCCACATATTTCATTTTTCAAAAATAATTTCTCAAATTACTTATTTCCAAATAATATTAATTTTAAATTTCTATCCTACTTTTTAAATATAATATTAACACAACAGTATTCCAAGTAAAGATGACATCAAAATTAGTTCTTTAATTTCATCTTCGAAATTAATTTCCACTCGTTTATATCAGCAACAGATTCATACATTTGTAGATTAAATAATTTTGGCATCAAATATTCCTCGTTCATAGCTGACAATTTCTCATACATATTCGACAATGCCTCCAACCAATCTGATGTTGTCTTAGACTCTTCTGTGAACGTCACATTTCTAATAAACGAGGGAAAATGAACAATAAACTCTGCACGGAACTCAAAGGAAGGGGTGGGCTGGTATCGTAAAGATTGGCCTTTGGGTTGGCCATAACAGAATTCTACGTGTCAAGCTTTGCCATGAAAGGGTCTGTGTTTCGTACACGCGTAACGAAAATCACTTCAGTTGGCTGTAGCCTAAACGCCAGATTTCTCCAGTGCGGTGGCTGTGCGGCGATGTTCTCTCTCTCCCAGTTGTTGCGGTTGCAGGATTTGAAGTGTGAAGCCGAAACCAGACCGTAGAAATGATCCAGAGTTGTCCGCCATTTCCGTTCCTGAAGCTTCCTGGCTAGTCTTTTCTTTTGTTTGTTCTTATTATGTTTATTTGAAAGCTTAATTAAACAGTCACTTCGTCATACTGAATCAGTGGATTGAAGGTCAGTGTGACGCAAGAATGAAGACTCCGATTTCTATCTCACCGCAGCAAGACATATATGGAGATCTCTATCAACCAGCACTTATAATTGCCGCTTGCTTTGTGGTTGTCGCTCTGGTGCTCTCCATTTTTCTCATTCTACAGCATCTCAAATCTTACTCCAAGCCGTCGGTAACCGCTTTCATCATCATCATCTCTGTTCACCTTACTTCAAATCAGAAGAGAATTTTACCTACACGATGAGATCACAGGACACATATTTATTGATTTCAGGAACAAAAATGGATTGTTGCGGTTCTTTTTATGGTTCCTGTTTATGCCACCGAGTCGGTGAGTCATAATTCCCCCAATCCAATCCATCTATCTAATGTATTTGTTTGTTAGCCTTGTGGCTAGGCTAGAAATTATTCCTCGAGTTTGATATAAATAAATACTTTGGTACAGCAACACTAACAGTTGGCTACGTGCTTTTCAGATAATATCATTATGGAATCCAAGATTTTCCCTTGTATGTGACATCTTAAGGAACTGCTACGAAGCGTTTGCTTTGTATTCTTTTGGAAGCTATTTGATTGCTTGTCTGGGTAAGCTCCAGGCTACCACGTTACTCTGCATCTTGGTTCTTTTGCTTGCCTGCTCGTTTGTTTTTTCAATGATAGAGGAATGGAATGTGTCAAATGTCATCGTTCATGTATTATCCATCAACCAAATTGAGCACATTGTTTTCTCAAATCTAACTGCCTTATTTTTCCACAAGGTTTCATTAGATAGTTGGGACTACTTTGTCGGAAAACTGAGAAAGAGTCCCAAAACGAAAATATTATACGAGTAGCAGTAACTGGTAAAAGATTTTTTTCTTGTTTAACAGAAGCCCAATTGACACCCACATAACAATAGAATGTGTTGAACGAATCTGTGGTTCCCTTACCACATTGAAGGAATTTTTTGCAGGTAAGCCAATGATCTCTTATTGAAGGCAAACATAAATTAGTTTAGTTTGTTTTTCGTAGGTTGGGTTATGGTTAGACAATTGTAGACACTAGGTAGGACCTGATATAAGTTAGGATTGGGGGTATACATGCTACTCCCTAAGGAGATGTTAGGATCGTGAGTATCACAGTTGTTTTATTTGTTTAACCTAAAATCAAATAGAAGTTACATGACAAACTAGGCTAATTAAAACTTTGAGTCATCCCTTAGTACTACACCTGGTATATGCCGCATCATCCGATTTTTGAAGCAGTTAACTGTATGTACAGATAATGCCATAAAATTATGCATTGATGAATAAATTCTGAGTTCTTTACAGCATGTGATTTTTCATGAATGGTGCTAGGTGGTGAAAGAAGAGTCGTTGAACTGCTTGAAATTGAATCAACAAAACAGCTGGAGGAACCTCTAATTGAAGGGGAAGAAAAGAGGTCAAGGTCTCAAAGAAAACTGTGGAACTTTTTCCTTAAGCCACGTGTTCTCGGAGAACATCTGCTCACTATAGAAAAGTTTGGTCTTGTTCAATATGTAAGCCATCGATCTGGAACCTTTTATCGGCTTGAGCTCAAGAATTAGTTTTCTTATATATATATTTTTGGGTGGTTTAGATGATTCTGAAGACGACATCTGCATTCCTAGCATTTATATTGGAGCTTTTTGGAGTTTATGGTGATGGGGAATTCAAGTGGTTCTACGGGTATATATTTAAACTTGCATATTTGGCCAATGGTGATGGGGAATTGAATAGTTTGATTATGCTGCTTTGAGCCGATTGTTTATTTGTGTAGACTGCTCAGCTATCTACATGACTACATCAATTTCTAAAGGATAATTTTCTGTATTTGATTTAGTAAGAAATGCACGTGTTCTGTTCTGCAAAAATTGTAGTGGAATCTCTCCCTTCTGGAGCAACATATTATCATTCTGTAGCATCCAAATCCTCTTGTTTTAGATGGTTCATTATTAGAGAAACAGAATAGGTTACCTCCGAGTCAGGGTTTCAGTTATAGTGTCCAATGTACTACTAGCTACCAAAGACGTAACAGCTCAAGCTTACTGCAACAGATATTGTCTTCTTTGGACTTTCTCTTTCGACCTTCCTCTAAAAGCTTTAAAACGCGTCTGCTAGGGAAAGGTTTACACCCTTATAAAGGGTGTTTTGTTCTCCTTCCAAACCCATGTGGGATATCACAATCCACCCCCCTTCAGGGCCCAGCGTCCTCGCTGGCACTCGTTCCTTTCTTCAATCGAAGTGGGATCCCCACCAAATCCACCCCCTTAGGTGCCCAGCATCTTTACTGGCCCACCGACTCGTGTCTACCCCCTTCAGGGAACAACCTCCTTGTTGACACATCGCTATTGGCACACCGCCTCGTGTCAACCCCCCTTCGAGGTACAACCTCCTCGTTGGAACATTGCGTGGTGTCTTGACTCTGATACCATTTGTAAAGTCCAAGCCTACCGCTAGCAGATATTGTCCTCTTTGGGCTTTCCATTTTGTGCTTCCCCTCAAGGATTTAAAATGCGTCAGCTAGGAAAAGGTTTCCACGCCTTTATAAAGAGTGGTTTGTTCTACTCCCCAACCAATGACGAGATGTACGTTTCTTTTGTTTGACTTATGTTAATGCCTTTGGTGTATTAATTTTGTTGTAGGTATCCATACCTAGCAGTGGTACTTAACTTCAGCCAGATGTGGGCATTATACTGTCTCGTCCAGTTTTATAATGTAACTCACGAGCAACTGAAACCAATAAAGCCACTGGCAAAATTCATTAGCTTCAAGGCCATAGTGTTTGCAACGTGGTGGCAAGGTGTAGGCATTGCTCTATTACGTGAACTTGGAGTTCTGCCGAAGGAGGGGAAACTAGAAACTGGACTGCAGGATTTCTTAATTTGCATAGAAGTAATCTGCTTCACCTTTTGCGTTTGCCAGCCAAATTTTCTTCTCAAACATGTCATACTTCGTATGTATTCACAATTCGAAGTGGTTTCGGTCAAAAAAAGGAAAAAAGAAAAAAAAGAAAAAAAGAAAAAAAAGAAAGCCATATAGAGCTTTGTAATATTCTTCCTTATTCATGATTTTCTAGAGACTTTTTTGCCTTCTTCCTTACTGATGAAACTTCAACGAACTGGAAAGTTGCTTATTTTTCTATTGCGTTGCAGATGGCCATCGCAGCTGGGGCTCATATGTTTGTTTTCTCTGCTGAACCATATCGTTTCATACCAGTTTCTGAGTACGGAGTCACCATAGAGTCAATGAAAGGTCGAGCCAAGGTCAAAGAGGGCAAAGAACAAAAACGGGTTGTGGTTGAGAAGACAGAAACTCATGTGGAGGCTCCTGGAACGAGTGTCAGCGAGAGTGTCCAGGACATAGTTCTTGAAGGCGGTCAGCGAGTAAGTAGAAGCTATTAAAATTGTTTAGCATTATACGCTCTACGCTAATGCCGTCTTAGCAGGTTGTTAAGGATGTTGTATTGACCATAAACCAAGCAATAGGACCTGTGGAGAAAGGCGTGGCAATGATACAGGGGACCCTTCACCAAACAACGGTAGGTTCAGATGAAGAAGAATCGGATGTAGAGGTGGAAGAATACGTGCAAGAAAACCTTGCAGGAAATGAAACCGTCTGAAACCCTTTTATCCATTCTCGATCATTATCATATGTCTAAACATAATTACTTGCAACATAGGAATTCATGTGGTCTATACAGTGTAAAAAATGCGAGTAAAAAATGCGAGCTTTCCACCAGTACTATCAACTAGGCGAACTCCATGGTTAATTAATTAAATTACCGTAGGTAATCACGGACCAGGCACTGGCAGTTTCTCATGATGTTGCTCGCATCCTGTAACCATGTGACTAAATTTGCGCAAACAAAATTTCATTCCATGTATCAGGAACGCCCGGTAGACACCAGTGGAGGCAATCTTGAACCCCGGCTTTGGCTGTTATGCTGTATCTAGATATATGAGCCTCATCCCTTAGCTGTGAGAGGGCTGTTATGTCCAAAAGCTTAACCCCCGTCCCCTTCACTGCACCTGCAGCACTCTCATCACTTGATTCTTCTTGCACTACTTCCTTGCCTATTGACATAGGTCTCGTGTTGTCACAACTTCCTCCTGTATTCCAATCTCCACCCACAAAGTGCCTTGGTGAAATTGTTCGATAGAAGGCTTTCAAGCCTGGATACTTGGGAAGCTGCGAGTTCACCCAGTTGACGATACTGTAGATGGTGAGATTCTTGGCACTCCAAATCGGTGCAAGTTTCTTGTCGATGTTTGGCTTACCGTTCACATGCATCACCCAGCGGTTAGCCTTGAGCTTTCCACGATTCCAATGGTGGCCTGTGTTTAGAACCAACACATCAAATTTACTAATATACTGCTGTAAGAATGCAGGTGGTCGATCAAGATGCATGGCATAATCGGTGTTTTGATCTTTTTCATCCAAGGGCTCCACATTGCAGAGGCTAGCTGACCAGTAATAGAGTATTGTAGTATTGGTGCTTGGGAATCGATATGCCCATCCATTAGGGCGTGTATTACCAGGAGCCAAGGCCAAGCCGTATTCTTGACCCACATCTTCAAAATACTGCTGCTCACCACCAGTGACCATACACATCAGAGACTGGAATTGCTGGCGGCCCAAAGAGTCTCCAACAAAAGCTAGGGTTTTGTCTTGCATCCTGAGTCATCAGAATTGTAAATGTTATAGTACATTTAAACTATGAGCATTACCATGACACGAAGAAATAAAAAGTGAAGGGTAATGCACGATGGCATAGACAAAAGTGAATAGAATATTCTCAACGACACCGTAACCTTTGCGATTACCTTTTTCTTTTCCTTATTTTGTCTAACTTATTATCGATCAAGACTTGAAAAATCCAAGCATGGAATGCAAATAAACTACCAGAATCTACTTAATGTGGACCAGAGATGAGCGCTCATTTGTAAGCTTTAAAGTTTACAGGTTGATATACAAAATAACATTTTATGTGGAGATCTATTCATCCCTATTATTGGAAGAGTACTTAAAAAGCAATTAACCTTCAAAGATGTTCCTAGCCCAGCAGAATAAGTGGTCAGCAAGGCTTAGAAGTTGGGGTAGACTGGATTTGTTAAATTGGGGGACATTTAACCTGAACCTGAATGGGACTAGAAATAATCTGGAAGTTTCTCAGAAGGAGAATACCTTTTCAAGAACTCAGAACCTTTGAATCTTTCCATTTCACAATTGTTAGGCTGCCATCTAAGCTTTTCATAGGAAAAATCTGTACGTTGGGTCAAACGACACGCCCACATGCCAGAGAGCCATTGCTTGCAGCGAAATCCAGAATACGTAGGCTCCTCCTCATCTACAATCCATTTTCCTTTTGCATAATTGCAGGCTGAATTGGTCAAATAAATTACAGAAACTGTCAGCAACAAAAATCTAATAAACCAAAGGTATAAGTAAGAAGTAAATCTTAAATAAAAGCAAGTGATACTTAAAATGTATACTCTTATCGGCAACGTAATCAAAGGCTTTAAGACTACGGTAGAATAATACCATTTATATAAGAATGGAATAGTAGGAAAGAACTGACATAAAAAAAGTTTGCAGTAGTACTAGTGAAGTTTACTTGCTTCATTAAACAAGCAACACTAAGAGAAACCGTCCAGTGCACATTTTCTATTACCCTCCTTTTTTTATTAGCCAATAAGCCTCATAACTGAATTGCAGGTAACCATACCCCCGCATCGTATCATGATAGAAATCTGTTTTGGAAAGAATCTGAAGACTCTGAGTTATGTCAGAGCTGATGGCGAATAGGAGGAGATTTTAATTTCAGTGTAACCAGATGACCTTTGCAAAGTTGTCAGGAGGAAAAGTTACGACAAGGTGCTCCAACAAACTAACACTTAGTCTAACGACAAGCCCACCGAACAAGACTTCATATCTCCCATCTCCAACTCCAAGAGATAACAAAGACTTCTACTATTAGATTATCCACTCAGAGGCTTGAGCTTGGGACTGTGGGCCCAATCTTATTTGAAACCCTAAGCACTACCACCAAGGTTGCTGCTTGAGGGCAATGTTCAACAAAATTTGGAAATGGAACTTCTAATCCAAAACCATTCCTTTCCCCAATCATCACATGACACTCAACTTGATCTGTGTTGATTCTCTTGAACCAAATGTCCATATAATATAAGAAACCGAGTAGAATTTGCAGAGTGGTAAATAGTAAAGAGGAAATGTCTTGCGCACCTTGATTCCTTTCCAACTTGTTATCTATTGTGCTGACATTGTAGACAATCGGTGACATTGAGACAACACTTTCTTCTCCTTGTCTTGAATAATTTTCTTCTACTACCAGCTTTATTTTTCCGTCAGCTTTTTCTGGTTTCGGTTTTAAAACCTCTTTCTGTATAGGAACAATTTTATCTTTTTCATCCACAATTTGGTCATCTATTGTGTCGTCTTCTATAATTTCTTTTTGACTTTCCGAGCTTCCATCATCTCTTAGTTCTGGTATTTGTTGGTGTGTAGCTTCTCTGGAACCTATAAGGTTTCCTGCACGGAAAATAGACATTCAGAAATCTTAATCGAAGAGTTACTAAGACATTTCCAACATCCAGATGTAACTAGTACATAAAGAATGCTATTATTAATATTACCAAGAGATTAAGTGTACATGAAGAAGATAAGGTTTCAAGTTCAAAGAACAAATGTATAAGAAACTAAGGACACATACCAAATTGCAAGAAACAAATTTTAGTTTACAATAGAAGTGAAGAAATGACCACAGAAATGAGTGAGAAATGGCAACACCAGAAGGAATAAATGTCTGCTTGAAAAGCTCAGCTAAGAATATGGGTACCGATTGTGTCAATCAAACATCCACACATAAGAACGACGAATTGATACAATTGAATTAGCCAAAAAAAAGAAATCATAACTAATCTGGAAAGACCTCCCCTAAGTATAGTTAAACTGGAATATGCTGGAGACGAAATGTTAATCAACACTGAGTTAAAAATATACCTTTATTCTGAGAAGATATCGTGTCCTCATCATTTGAATAGCTGAAAGAAGAAGCCCTATGAGCATCTAGGTTATTTACAGTACTTTTATCTTCAGAAGCAGGTACATATTCACGATCCAAAGGAGAAATACTAACTAGTCTACCTGCCAGACTATCTGCATTACAAAAGAAGATCAAGAAGCACAATTATGATTATGTACTTAAAGTTCAAAAGTGCTAATTGTCAACAAGGGCATGGTTCAAATCATGGCCAGCATCTATTTTAGATATTAGAAATCTCATGAATCTTCCATCTACAGATCATGTTGTTCTACAAAGGTGTGCATCCCATCACTCTGGTTATCTGAGATATACATAAGCTGAAAACAAGACTAGTTTTCTAAAAACTGTCAGGTACAGAGAAATTGCCACGGCTTCTTAAAATAAACATGCGGAATAATTCCTCGTCTTGGAAGAAAAACGATGCTTTGGAATTTCATAAAGCATGCAAGAATTCGTCTTGCTTGGTATATATGATATGGTACAATGGGCTAGATTTTGTGTGTTCTAATGATCTGAAATTCCAGCTCAGTTGACTTTGTGGCACCATGAAAAAGTCTAACGAAAAGGGAGATGTTAGCAAACCATGACCTTGAGATAGCTGCAACGGAGTCTGAGATGCAGGAAAGGTATTAAGAAGTGGAGTTTTCTCCCATGTCAACATAATAATAACCACGCACATCAAGGCAATGGTTACGAGAGATAGCTCTTTACCCCTCAATCCATAAAAACCCTTCTTCATCCTGCACTTGAGTAGCAATCGTGTTAATATTTTATCAAAATGCTGTGAGAAGAATGAGTCACCAGCAAAAAAGCAAAAACAGGGGCTCCAGTAGCACAACCGCTAACTATTATACATTGAGAACACAAGAGAATTGGCCGTTTCAAGCATTTACTAAGAGCATAACGTTTTCGATTTCTTACACAAAAGCGACGAATTACAATGCAATGGCCAATAATTGAAGGATTTTGGTCGTATGGACAACTACTACAGACAAATACTGATTCCCACCGACAAACGATTCGTGGTTTAAATGAAAACCCGAGTTGCTTCCCTCGAATCTTAAGGGAATAAATTAAGAACATGATTCAGTGGTGAGAAGATAATACCTTAGAGGTGAGATATGAAGGCCGCAGTCGAGAGGATCTGCAGAAAACAAATGCAGTTAAAAAGGAAGAGATTTCTCAGTAGTTGCTGCTGCGAATGGGGGAAGAGAGAATCAGAATCAGAATGAAAAACTGGAATTACAATTAATCGGTGGAGCAGATGAGAATAATTAAGCAAACAAAAATGAAGAACAGGAGAAAGAACATGGAAGAACCTGGAATGCGCGAAATCGAAGGGTGAGGAGAAAAGGAACAACAGAGACAGAATTAAAATTAAATAGTTAATGAACTCAGAGTGGGGGAGGGATGTATCCCATCGACTTTAACGTACCCGTCCACACGTCGACGCTCGGAGACCAATTTTATTTTATTTATTTTATTTATTTTTAAGAATATTAAATATAAATCTTATATTATACCGAAATGATTAAAATGATTAAAATTGATTAAAATTGAATAAAAGAGTTTCGGAAGGTTTACCTCCGCGCTCCCTCTTAATGCCTCATCTTCGTAAACCGACGCCGGGAATAAGGTGAATATTCAGGCGGGAACGAAATGAAGAAGTCATCGCTTCCATTGCGCGGTAGTATCGGCCCCGGAAATCATGAGTATAGCAACGAATCCTTGGTGAAGCTCTTAAGGTGGCATTTCGGACATTCTGAGTTTAGAGGAAAGCAATTGGAAACGATTAAAGCTGTTTTATCAGGTTGATACTTCCATAGCTCACAGATGTAACATGTTGCGCGTTCTTAATTGTTGGTGAATTTTCTGAACACTGTTAGCTGATTTCGTTTATCGTCTTCTTTGACTTAGGAAAAGATTGTTTCTGTCTCATGCCCACTGGGGGAGGAAAGTCAGTGTGTTATCAGATCCCTGCTCTCGCTACAAAGGGAATCGTGCTTGTTGTTTGTCCCTTAATAGGTGAATGCTATTCAGTTTCTTTATTTACACTAAAAGCTTATAGGAGAATTTGAACTACAAATGTTTTTTTTTTTTTTTTTTTTTTTTTTTTTTTTTTTTTTTTTTTTTTTTTTT